TGAGGGGATTCAGTGCAGTGACTGGAGAAAAGAACTTCCATATTTATATTTCACCAGAAATGGTCGTCATTGTGTTGTTGTGATGAAGACAGCTGTGTGGTACGTGTGATCAGAACAGGAATGCAAGCTGCAAAGCACATATGAAATTATTTTGCTTTGAATGGATGGTTAATCTCAGAGAGAGGAAGGGAATAATCCTTTCTCCATGTCCATGGTGAATAGGACTAGAGGTCTCGCACTTAAACTGAAGCAAGAAAGATTTATCTTAAATTTTCTTTCTAAGGGAATTTTTCAGTGATTCTAGATTTTCTGTTGTGTTGAAAACAATACCTAGCAAAGGAGGGAATTCGGAACAAATGTGGTCTACTGAAAAAGCTTTATAAGACGTAACAGTTTGAATCATGAAGAGCTTTCATGGTTGCTTCGTTGTTGCTGATAGAAAACATCTTGAATGGTGTGCTTTTCTGTTTTGTTTGTTAATTCATGTCCGTGAACATTGAGCAGGATTCACAGCATATGCTTTGGTATGTACAAAGTGATTTCTATGCAAATCATGCAAGCTGGAGAGGTAAAAGTAGACCTTTGTCTATTTGATTGCTGTGGGAGGTACAGTTTTCAAAGGTTTACGATATCCATATAATGTTTATGAAGTACATGATAGTAGTTAAAATTTAGAAAACAAGTACAACATAAATGTGTGATAGAAGGCTTCTGTCATCTTCGGGATTTTTGCCTTCAATACTTCTTCCCAATGTTGTTTTCTGTCATGAACTTCATCCCATTACTTAGTTTGCCATGGCTCAAAGGTTACTGAAGTAATTTATTTTCATCCTTGGATGTTAACAGAAAAGTGAAGAATGATTACAAGTTTTGTTTCTTCCGTAGTTTTCACCTTAGTTAGAGAAGAAATCTGTAACTTTGTATTTCCACAAAGCTCCCTCCAAAGAGGACGAACAATAGATGTCAGATTTTTAGTTTTCTTTTGGTTTAGCACCATTACGTTTTTGTGCATAGTAGCAGGAGTGGAAACATACTGGTCAATGGCTAGTATGACATACTATTAGGGAATTAAAAATGTATTGGAGTGGGAGTTCTCTTTTACTCTGTGGAGAAAAGGTAAAATAACGAGATCCTAGTAGTTAATTGGAGGTCAAACTGCAGTCATGTCTAACAGTGTAAGAAGTAGTATCTTTATATTTTGCACAGATTATTAAGGTGTTGAGTTTTTCTTTTGTGGTTTTTGCCTTTTTTTTTTCATTTAACTACCTACTCAACTGAATCAGGGTGAACTTGGCCTTCCTGCTTTGTTGGTACAGGTTAGTTGTGTGTTCTTTTACAGGTGCTAGCCAAAGAATTTTTACCAATTGTCAGGTGGTATGTGATGAACATAAATGCAAAAGAAGCAGCCAGAAGGTGTAAAGTACTTTGTTACACGGTGTAACAAGTCATTTGAAGCATGAGGTAGCCAGTGTCAGGGAATATCAGTACTCCAAGTGGGTAATAATGAAAGAACAATATCTGCCCTTCTTCCCAGTGGCTGCAGAGACTCAACTTCCATACTGTTTCAGAGAAAAGGAGGAGGTAAGGAAAATCATTCTAACCTTAACAAAGTCAGGTGTGCATTCTTTAGGAAGAATGGACTCCAGATAATCATTTCTATGTTAATAAGACCAAGTAGCATTCCTGGGAGGGATGGACTTCTTAAATATCTTGTAAACTGTTGCACTTGACATTCTGGTGGGGCCTGTAGGAGTGGCACACCCAGTATTATCTTAGCTCAGAAGTGGGAGATAGAAACTAGAGACTGCTAGTTTTTGGCCAAAGGTCCCTTTTGTTAGCATGAACTTCTTAGACCTCCCAAACATTAATCTTCCACCACATGATGTTTTTGTTTTGTTTTAATATGACTTTAAGAGAAAAAGGGAACAGATGCTAGTCATACTTGACAGTTAAAATAAAATGGTGTAATACTGCCTTGCACGGTCACTTCACGTGAAGTTCCTGGTTGTCATCCCTGAGATCTGCTGATCCTGCATTCTTGAGCTGATACTCCACACCCTTGTGAGAAACATTTATTTCTCTGCTTGTCTGTCTGTTATCCCTTCACTTACAATCTGTCTGTCTTGCCTGCTCCTTTACAAAATTAAAACAAGTTTCAGAAGCACTGTTGGTATCAATCATTTCCTTGACAGGAATATAATATATGTTACCGTGTACACTTTCCAGCACTAGCATCTGATTCAATATTTTTTTTTATCATGGTGTAAAAACATTGTTTCATTGATCATCTTTATGGAATTAATTCGTAATGCGAAATTAAGAAGATAGGAATGTTGTCTATTAATTACAAAAAGATGGATCTTGTGTTTCTATGACAGCATATATTTGGTAGTGATAAACAAGTTCTCAGTCTTCCACATCGTAATTTAATTCTAACCTAGCCCATTTAAAACCCTTTTTTTTCTGATTTCAAATGGAACCAAAGTATTCTGTAACTTGTTTTAGTGAGTTGGGTTAAAATCAAGGCTTCTGCTGGATAAATGCCTGTGTTCTAAGGCAATATATGAAAAAAGTGTGCTTTGCTTATATTAAGTATGTGAAATAAAAGGTCCTTGTATTGGAAGTTAAGTTCAGCCTATCTATCTTTCATTCAGTGTCTGTGTTGGTTACATTGCATTTTCCTTTGGTTCAGGCTGAATTTATTTACCTAATCCAAGTTGTAATAAAACGTAACTTAGCAACTGTGTATATAGGAATATTAACCTAAGGACAGAGTGAAGGAACTCTTTTCCCAGTAAGAGAAAAAAATAAAAAGTTTTATTGACCTCATATTAAATAAATGTGTACACAGTTCTGGTAACTAGAAAAATTAGATGTTTTCTGGTTAGTTGTTACAATTTTGTGCAACTTGAATCATCATTCCGAAGTACTACCAAAACTTCTGTTAGACCAGTTAGACATAAGTCTGCCTGAGTGCTACCTCCATGGATAGCGGTTAGTACCTTCGTGATATCTATTATATTGCATGATAAATAGATTAAGTAGTGACAGGGAGGAGATGCTGCATTTTGTACCGTATTTGGAAAGCCTGACAATCCAGTGTCAATCAACTTTTTCTACTAGATAACCTTTCACTTTTATAACACCAATTTTCAAATAGCATGTAATTGTATCTCATTTGTTTGTTGTTCACATCCAGAGTTTAGCATTTACCTTGGGTGACTTTTACAGGCAGTTCACTTCAATGCTGTCAATGTATGTTTGGGGGAGCATGTTTTCCAACTTAAAAATGTGTCTAATTTTTCAGTTTTGTTTTTTTTTTTTTTCAAAATACTGATGAATAAATCTTCAATATTGATTCCTCATGGATCTACCTTACTGTGAACGAAAGTGCCTCAGGAAAGCTAAAAACTTTCTAGTCCCTGACAGTCACAGTATGTATTCCTTTTAGTATTTAAGGTTTTCAACTCTTTTCATTAACATCTCAAAGCTGATGAGATGGTTTATATTTCTAATACTACAGAATTGCTGGTCATATTGTATTGTATTGTTAAAATTTTCTGGTTCCATTTAGGTTTTTGTTACAGAAATGAAGCAACAAACAAAAAGCTGGTACACAAACTTGCATGTGAATTCCAAAATGAAAGTCATACTCCGTATTGCTTCAATATTGATGTGCAGTATTGTTGAAACACATTTATTATAAAAATAAAGACAAATGTGTGTCATACTAATCTAAGGACTGGCATTGCTGCAGAGAATGCTCTGGAAAAAATACTTCTGGCTTCCTGCAAAGCTGCTGAATTGGAAGTGGGAAAGACCACTCAATCTGGAGGGAGGACTGCATCCTCTGCCAGGGTCTTATCCCTTTGGCAAAACTATGTTAGGAAACTTGTTGAGGCCTGGGCTCTTTTAAATCTGCTTTGTGGACAACTGTGCAGTCAGGCACCACAAGTTGTCATGAAGATGTTTCTGTCCTCTTTGCTTCACAAATATTTCTGTCTGTGATAAAACAAGATTTATGGCTGGCAATTCAATCTAAGAACATCCTTGAAACACAGAATGTCAGGATGCTTCATCACCAGCAAAGAGAACGGACAACACCGTTTTTTTTTCAACTTTGGTCATGATCTATATTTCATTTGACAGTTTGTGGGGAAACGCCTGAAATTTGGCCTTTTAATTAAAATATATAAGATACGTAATAGACGTTAGCACATGGAGGTTTTCTCTTTCCCTGTTCAGTTAATTTATAGCACACTGTAAGTGCTGTTTCTGTGTTAGCACTCCAAGCTTATTATTTTTTATTTTGTTAACTATGTAATTGTGGACTTCTGTTAATTTAGAGCTGTACCACATTTTGCCTGAATATGGAACAGCCTTTTTTTTTTTTTTTTTAAAAAAAAAATAAAGTTAAAGTTTAGCCTAGAATTACACTAATATCACTAATATTGCTGTAGGTGGAAAATTTGTTGTAATTTTGAGGACTCTTTAAAAAAATAAAAATGAAGAGGGTAAATGTCCTACTGCATTGCGTTGTTGAAAAAGTCAAATTCAGGCAGATGGTTCTCTGTTTTTCTGTGATAATCCTATCTTTGGTGATATACTTAAGGCATCTTTATTCTTATCACTAAGATTCTTGGTGAATTTCCTTCTTAGGTGATGGTTTCACATCACAATAGCTAAAATCATATCCATAAACCAGGTCCTTATGAGAGACTTCATCCAAGTATGACTCATGAACTGTGACAGTATTCCAAATGTCGTTTTTTCCCAGAGATTTATGTAAGAGTTCTCTCATTCTCCTGTTTTCTTTGGATGTGGATTCCCAAATGACTTCAAGTTCACCTTCCACTTTTCTAGGAAAAAAAATTAACAGCAATCTTAATTTTAAAACCACTTTAAGCACTATGTAATTACAATATATGCATAACTAAATTATACAACATGTGTATTTAGATGCTTGAAATGTTCTGATTGAATTTTTATTGTTTTTAAAGGCCGGTAAATATAATGTTAGGAGAGGACGCGATCAGGAAGATTTCTGACCCACATAATGAGTTGGATTAAGTCTACACAAAAGAGTGGTGCTTGTGAGTTTCAAATATTATGACCATCTTTGAATCAGGCTCTGCTGTGACTGCAGTTCTGCTTCCTGTAATAGGTATGTTTCTGTAATGAGTGCCCTTTTTTTTTCTGCCAGATGCCAGGAGTTCTGTATCTTGTCCACTCAGAAGCTAAAAAAAACAGTTTGCTCAAACAGACGGTCGGTTCAGATTGTGCTCAGCTAAATGCCTCTTTGTGGAGGCCAAACAGAAGCGATGTCAACTTTTGGGTTGGTTTAGTTGTTGGTGGTGAGTGGGGATATGAAGAACAGTCCTGAAGGCATTATGTCATTCTTTGTATGCTCATTTCTCTGACTGCATGAATGAATTATTTATTGTTCTTCTCAAGAAAAAGGTTACTTGTGAGCATGGCAGCTAATGCTGTTTAATAATGCAGTATATTCTAGCCACTGACTTTTTAGTGAGTTACACCTGGTCATAGTTAAGCACTTGGGTTTCCTCTGACTCACTTCTAATATATGTCAAAATACAATTTAATCAGTAAATTGAGATTACTTGAAGTGGAAAACAAAACCATTGCATGGTTTTGTTTGCTTATCTACTGAGTTTGCTTATCTACTTTCTAAGGCCAACACTCTTTTTTTAAAAAGAAGAAAAAAAAACCTGTTGAATTGTTAATGCTCATATGATTCTGAGGGAAAGTCAGAAGTAAGAAGATAAAACCAAAGTTCACTGAATTCTGAGTTGTAGTTCAATGTTGTCAGCAAGGCTGACAAATGGGACAGGTATCAGACCATCCAAGCTATATGCTCATTGTCACTCTACACACACAGTTCAATAGCAACCACGTCAATTTTTGAAAAAAGTAGTTCAAAGAGAGGTTTTAAAAGCACCAACATGGTTAGAATGACATCAATATTGAGAAAGCATACATGTAGAGGGAATTGTGTATCTGAACTCTTCTTGGAGGATTAATTTTTAAACAAAGCTGACAGATGCAGAATCTGAAAGTGTTTGCTGACTTTGCTTTGGAATGAGCAGACAAATCGTGTTGTTGTCAAGGAAGCATATTGCAGATAATCCTGGCTTTGCATGCAATATACTACAGTCAGAAGTAAGTCTTCAGTGTGGCATAATAGGTTTTATAGCTCTGTTTTTTCTGGTGAGCATCTAAGGAGCAGCAGTTAGTCTAATTGTAGTTAGGATAGCGTGGGGTTTTGTTTCTGCAGGGTTTTTTTTACCATCAATTTTTATTTTTTTTTAACAACAATCAAAAGCTAAAAATACATTCTGCTTATGTTGGGGAGGGAGTAGTCTTTTTGTCCTTCCCACAAAAATGAGTTTGTATATGTTTTTAGTATTTCTGCAACTATATACTTAATTTTCTCTGTCTGCTAACTGTACGTTTTCATATAACCTGTATTGTGTGTTGTTTAGAAGACTTCCAGTACTACATACTATTTTTTTCAAAGTTTTGCAGTGTTTCAGCATCATTCTACTTACAAACCTTGTAGAGCTTCACAAAAGCAATCCTACTTTGTTATTCAGTGGATTGCAATAGCAGTAAGTCTGTCACTGTCTTTGATTACCTTTCTTAGACTTTGAGAAAAATCTAAAGGTTTAAAGGATAACCGTAAATATATTTTTTCTTGAATATAATTTCAAATGTGTTCATGTTTCACTTGCAAGCCATACAGGCACATACAGGAAATACCAACAGTTAGAGAACAACCATAATGCAATTTTTAATATATTAGGTCATAGATGTAATTATTTGAGAAACCGTTGTTCAACATTAGGAATGCCAATACAAATCAACAGGGTTTTGAGCTCTATAGTGCATATGGCATGCCTGGACTGAAGTAGTTTATAGTACAGCTCGACTGCTGTTGATAGTCATAAAAATTAGTTAATATATATATTTTTTTAATTCTGAAAGTGGCAAATCTGTCACCTGTTAACAAAACGGTAAGGTAGATTCAAAAGGAAATACATCAAATGTGTACTTAACAGATTCATGTAATTTACTACTAGTCTGTTGAGGCGGGAGGACAGGAAAGGTGTTCAGCCTTCAGTAGAAGATGCTATTAAATAACTAACATATGTCTTGATTATTTTTAGACTCCTAAATCATTAGAGACTAGGCTCAGATTGGTATTTTTCATACATATTGATTTTCTTGATATTAAAAAACTTGTAAGAATAAATTTCTCCTTCAAAGGGTGTTTTTAGGAGTTGAGATGGATGGAATTAAGAGTATTTCAGCATTTTCATTATAGCTATAACAGGAACGAGAAAATAATACACTGTTTGAGGCTCTGGTGGAAAACAAGAGCCTTCTGCTGTGCACAGTTGACTGCCCCCAACCCCTTTTTCCCTGTTATATCTAATTGGATTACTTCTGCCTATGACTGACATACCTTTTTTGCTGCAGCACTTCGTTAAGGGTTTCCTGTTTGTCTTCTAGTAAATGCTGCAGGTACTTCAGTTCTTGCTGGTACTGAGCAGTCTTCCCGGCAAATTCTTTCTCCTGCTCAGTCATTTTAAGACTGATATCTCCAAGCTTCTCAGCTGCTTTCTTTTTATAGAGCTGTAAAAATTAATAGGAAAAATGTGATGACAGCAGAAATAAGAACAACTTACTACCAATAAAAGAAGCTTTGCGAGTTAGCAGTTTGGTCAATGATGCCTTGCATTGATATATCAGGTAGGTTACTTATGTGTATGTGTTTTGTTTTTTTTAACCTATTTGTTATTTGAAGGCATTACATTTGTATTTTGCCACCTTGGGCAGGGACACCTTCTACTATATCAGTTTGCTGAAAGCGACATGGTACTTACCAGTTGTCCAAGTCGTATTTATCCATGTATGCTATAAGAAAGTGTGTTCTGCTCTTTAATCTTAATACTAAGATTACTATTTGCAGGAAGAAGGGGATAACACAGCTGGAAGTGGTACTATTTTTCCTCTAGAGCTGAAATGGGTAGTCTGCCCATTGTCATGGCACACTAGGAATATAGGAAGCACCCGAGAAGAACAGTGATGATGGATATAGCAGCTGGGACTGAAGAGGACATAATCTACAGTCTTATAAAGTAATTTCAAAAAGGTATGTTTTGAGCACCGTGTTTCTTTTATACTATGTGTACTGAATTACTTGGCAGCTATTTATGTTGTTCACATGCACATTTTTCCAGTATAACTCTTGCTTTAAACAGAGCTGGTAAGCTAAATGATTTTCATCTAAAGTAAAACTAAATAATTAGGTGTGAACTAATTTTTTGGTTATATAAAGACTTCCTTTTTCCTTTACCGTTTAGTGTTTCCCGAGTTGCTATGAGTCAGAAATGTTCCTTGTATTTTCAAAAAAAGAAGGAAAAAAGCAGGAATAGACTCTAGATGAAAGAGCCCTGTGTACAGAGACTTAATCTATGGTCTCATAAAGTTAGATGCAAAGCATCTATCCCTCAGTGCAGATTACTGTTGATAGGAATGATATGAAGAAGCACCATTGTTTCATTCATATGCCTTGGTGTGCGCAACTAGATTACCTTCTGCATCCTGTCAGCTATGCAATGATTACAGGTGATTCTGAAACAAACAATCCTTAGTGTTGAGGGATTGCTTGGAGCAAACCATTAGCATTTTCTCTTAGCAGTAATTTTGTGCTCCAACTGCAGTATGTAGCAAAGTGGAAGGAAAAATAAAATAGCCAGTCTGGGGGGTAAAGTTACCTGAAAATGTAATCCCAATGGGAGAGGCCAGATATCTTCAGTATAAAGGTTGCTTCTACCTATATTTATAAAAACTTTATCATTGATAAAAAAAGTATTACCAATAGAAATTCAGAATCCATGAAACAACTTGATACGACTTCTTTTTGACAGTGTGCCCAAATGATGAACTGGAGTGCAAAATCTGTTATCAGAATTACAATCTTCACAGTTGTAAACCCAAAATTTTGAACTGTCTTCGCAGAATTTGTGCTAGATGTTTGAATAACATACTACTTATAGGAGGCGGATCTCTGCATTATCTGTCTCTCATGTTGCTACGAGATTGAGTTGCACAAAGATGAAGTTAAAGCACTCCCTAACGATAAAAACATTATGTCCAAATTCCTATTAAAAGAGCAGCATGGAATTCTAACTGTGATGAAGTAGTTTTAACACCAAAAAACTTGGCTTCCCTAAGCTCTTCCCATGAATCACCCAACTGCTTAGTAATTATGATTATGGAAGTACAAAGAGACTCCCCAAGGACTTCCAGTCAATCTGCTGCCTTAGATTACTATGCTGACCATAGCATTGAGTCAGCATCTGCAAGTTTGCAGAGTCAGCTGGATCAAGATCTCTTTTCCAAGCTACGCAATCGTGTACCTACAATACTGGTATGGCTGATTGGATATATATTTTTTTTATTTTTTTTATTTTTTTTTTACTTTGGTTCCCTCCCTGTTGGAATCTATTTACTAGTGATTGAAAAAGTAACCCTAGGTATTGTGGGTGTGTTTTGTTCCCTCAAGTCTTACTGTATGTCTCATGTATGGCTTCTGCCAGTGCCTCTGCCAGGAAATTTGTGACTGCTTTTCAAAAAGTTGATATGCAGATTTTTTTAATCAGTTAGTAAATATTTAACTGAACCATAAAATAATTTAATCAGACTCTAACACTTATGCTCTAAGCATTTTTAATAGTCTATAACTTCAGAAAGCTTTCTGATGATCTTTGAGCTTTCTTTTAGCATAAATGTATTTTTGTGAAAGCACAATAATTTGTGTTATTTCTCTAGTAGTCACAACATGGTGAGTTTTTTTAACTTTTTTTTTTCTTTTTTACTAAAAAGATAGTGTCTACTATTGCCTGTTCCGAAAGTGACAGTTTTAGACCACCAGCATGTGAATGAAAACCAACTGTGAAGAGATAGTTGAAGGCTATTTAAAACAATTGTTAAACAAAACCATTTTTATCAAATGCATGCTCACTGTTTAAAAAACAAAAAAGATCAGAAGTGCTGCATATAATATGCTTAAAAATGTCCCGTTGCAAGATAGTTCATGTTATATATGATTAATGAGATAGAAAGAATACCAGTGGAAAAACTTAAACATTTGAGTTGAAACTTTTCTGATGATGAAGGGAAATAAAGTTACATTAAATATTCTGCTCCATAATCAGTAGTTTTTTTCAGGTGAGTTCTGAGTTATAACAAATATGACAAAGAATCATGTAGTTGAATCTTAAAAGGCCAACTAAAGAACAATTTCTTCAAGTAAGCTTTAATATTTTCATGATTTAGTAAGCCTGAAAAATTGTCTAACAAAAGAATACCAAAAGATGTTTTGTTTCCTTAACGTAATTCCTGAGCAAAAATTATTTTTCTGAATATTTGTATACAATCTATTTGAGACTTGTTCCACTGTTCTATATGGTTGTACTGATAACCTACAAAACATGTTGTACAGTGAATGACTTAAAAGGTTTTCAGTAATTGCTAAGTCCCAAACTAAAAATGGGTACCTATAAAGAGAATCACTTAATTTGCTACCTAGCTCAAGCATACACAGTTTAAAATTGATAATAGAGCTGTGTATATTAAACATCTACATTGTTTTAGGTTTAATTTAAAGCTCAAAGGGTTATTGCTAAAAGGATTTTACACTTATTGTGTTTAAAAACAGGTCTGCTTGATCTTGAAGGTTCTCAGTGAAAAACAAGAAAAAACATGGGATTTTTGTTCATTTACTTTACCCAAAAGAATTTGCAAAACAGTAACAACTCTAGACCAGAAAAATCAGATCCACTTCGTCTGCAAAGCACACGTGACTTCAGAGGAAAGTGATCTAAAGGGAATAGAATTGCCAGGTTTTTGAATGACAACTGTCTGTCTACAGGGGTATGTGCCATACATTTGCAGTGAAGAATGGCTGTTCCACCTAGTCATTCTTTTTTCCTTTCCTCCAGTAACAATTGCAGTGATGTGAAAGAAGTCCCACAAAATCTGTTGACATGTACTCTTTCTGCCATGCATCTGACCTGCACCATGGTTTTGGAGTAGTTTGTGGACACTGAGATATGAGGCAATGAATTCACCAAAAGGTAAGCTATGATGCCTTATCTTTTAGGCACTTGTAAGGAACTCAAACCTGTATGTAGGCTAGAAGCTTTTCTCTCATTCTAATCTGAGGACTGTATGCTCTAGTGCATATGATAAATTTTATATTTATTATCTTGTATCTCATTATAATAGCTAAAAGTCAATGCAGAATACTCCTTTCTAAGATAACAGCTAATGTAACACAAACTAGGAAGTTATATCACCTTCTCACAAAAATGTGTACGTTTTAAGTACTATTACCAATGAAGACAGATCTTGTCTTAATACCTTGTAACAGGTTCACCCTGCAACTTGGTACAAGGGGCAGTTATTCCAGCTGCAGTTCCTTGAAGCAGCTGATAGTGGTATTCCTCTGGCTTACTAATCAAACTAATGAGATCTTTAACCTATTTTATTAAATTAAGTAGGAAGTGTGTAATCTTGAAGAATGCTGTTGTTCAAGTTTCCTGGTTGCTAGAATTGTGCGTTAACTGTGGAAGTAAACAAATCTTCCAAGTAAAGAATTTATTGCCTTTCCACGTTCCCCTGAATTTTTATTGACAGCACTTAAAGTGGAGGGGTGATATGCATTACATATTAGGATTAGAAAAGTCTTGATTAAAAAGAACCGAACTTAAAAATTTGACAATGTTTGTATTTAAACTTAGGATTTTAAATAAAAATAAAAAAAAGTAAAACAAAGGAATACCCAGAACTTCTCATAAATCACTACAGACAACAAAGTAATAAAGCTTCTATTTAGAAAAGTGGATTACTTGACTGGAGGTGTTCAAGAAATTAAGGTATTCTCAGCAAAAAGGTGATTGAACTTTGCTAAAAGTTACAGTTAGTATGATAGTCAAGAAGTACATGATATTTTAAGTTCCTGTAAGGTGGTTTTGACTGTTTAAGTCCTAAGCTATACTGACACAAATTAAGAACAAGAAAGTTTTGCCAGTAGTTTGTCAGTTTTTTCTAAATAGACTATAAATAATGTTTTTAAATATTGCTGTTTCTAGTTTCCATTAGCAGTTGATAGTGGTTGTTTTTTTAAAAGGATTTTTATCTGATTTCTTTGTGATCTGATCTCTTTATGAGATTTCTTTGAAGTACTACACCTCTTGCTTTATGTGATACACAATACTGAAAAAACACATATGCGTAGAAACTGTGAGGTTATACCTCAAACGCTATTGCTTAAGTGTTTACCTTGAATTACTGTAGCACTAAAGATATTAAAACATAAGAGTTTCAAATGTATTTCAGACTAAACATTGTTATAATGCAATTACATGTTATGTTTTGTATTTGCTTAGATAATCCTAAAGATAACCTGTGATGCATTAGGCTAGATGATTGAACATACTCTGAGTTTCTAAACTGCCTACCCTTTGGTCACATAAAAGTACTGTATACTCAAGATAGTTTTTCACTTCTAAATCTAATTGCAAAGGATTTCAAGTTGAAACATTAGCAGAGAGTGGACAAAAAAAAAGTAGAATAATTGGACTACATTACTGAGCAAAAATCAGAAGTGCTATTTTATTTGTATTTTATCATTTTTACAACTTGTCATAATTTTCTGGGTAATGGTGTTAATGCAGTGACCTAGCAGATACACAATATGAAAACAAAATGGAAAATGTCATTTACAAAAACTGATGATTCATTTCATTTTTAAAAAACTACTGACTTCTCTTATTTAAAAAGATAAAAGTTTTTACAAAATACATAGGTTAGAAATACTGCTTACCTTAACTTTTTCTTGCAGCCTTCCTAAGCGTAGACTGCCTTCTACTATTTTGTTGAGAACACCATGATTCTCATTTTCCAAACACCTGGCCTGCAAACATATATATCAAATTACATACATTGAAGGCAAATCTATTCTGAGTCTTAAGAACCAAGATGGAGAAAGAATCTTCAAAATTATGCTAATAATGTCTAATTAATAATTTATTAACTGGCTGTGAATACGATCACTAACAAAATAATACCTTGAAACACTTCTATTTTGAAAGGATCATAGATATATTAATATTGCAAACCAAACCAATTCTGTACATTCATCGACAGGTGTATATATGTATGCTTAGGGATTCTATTTGTACAGCTGACCCTCCAGGTCAGAATCAGTCTTCTCTCAGAAAAACCCTTGAAACTGGCAGCAGTTCATGGCAGGAATTTGGCATGTGGCTTACAAAATGGTTTTGGCTCATCCCTGCCTCCATCACTTTGTAAGTAGTGAATGTTGAAGTAGGGAGAATGATAATAGACTTTTACTTAGACATCGTGCTCAGTGTTGTCTCTTAGTAATAATCAGTGTCCAGTTCTAAATTCAGCCCTCTGCCCCCCCCCCCCCCAGTATTTTCTAGGTCTCCTCATTCAAAACCCTACCATCTTATCTGAGTACAGGATACCTGCAATCTAACTTTCTGCCAAGGTACGTTTCAAGTTCAGTGACTGAAATTAGGCACGGGTTGTTCAGATCCAATTCTAGCAGATAGCAAAGGAAACTGGATATTTTAAAGTTTTACTAGCATGAGACTATTTCAATAAAATAGGCTCTCAGAGCATTTCTGCTATTAACTCAGAATTAATTTAAATAATAATAAGTGAAAAGCTTCAGAAACGAGTACATATTTTTAAGTGCTCTACGTAAAATAATCTTTTGTTGCTTCTATTCTATTTGCAAACATTTAAATAGCTCAATCAACTGGAATCATAGCTTTCTTTTACTATTAATTTGAATTATTAAGCGTTTTTTCTAGTAGGAGAACTGAAACATCAGTTAAGCCATATTAATTAAAGATAATTACCAAAAAAATAAGGTGATCACGTTCCTGAGCTATCTTCTCCACCAAACCAATAAGGTTTGTTAGATAGTGATGGGCTGCAACTTCTTTTTCTGTTGCTTCCTCCAACTGCTGTTTCAAAAGACCTATTTTCTTCTTTAATCTCCTATAAAATTAACATGAGACCCTTCAGATTGGAAACTAATAATGGAAGTTAAGGGAACTTCCATTGTAGATACAAATCAACTTGCACAAGTCTCAAAAACAATCAAGTATAGTGTTAAAGATGTACTGGCTCAAAGTATTTCAAGGGCTGAAAGTATCATTGCCTACAATTTTTTTTCAATAGTATGCTATATGAATAGTAATTATAGTAGATATTCAAAAGAGCAATTTCTGCAATAGCTACAAGTTCATATTTCTTAAGAAAAATAATATTATTTTTACTTTTGAAAGGTTTGTTCTACCTCTGAACCATTCACATGCACGAGAAGGTCTGCAAATACTGAAATATCCTGTTCTTCAGGTGAATACACAAATGATTAATCATCATAGCTAACTACTAGCATTGAAGATATATTCTTAATTTGCATGTAAAGACAGATATGTCTACGAAAACAAAAAATTTAGCAAAATTATTCAACAAGTAGGCCAAATAGGTGTGACAAAGATGTATTTGAGGAAACATGGCTGCTCTACAGTAGGTAGAAATGATACCGGGATGTGAAAAAAATATTTTTACAAATATTACTGCTATGGTATATTTTAGAAATTTAAGTATTGAGAAAATGATAACATAATATGAAGTGAAAAAGGAAAATAAACCTGTTTGTCTTTTGTGTCATTTCCATATCAGCTTCCAGGATCTTCTTGTCAGCCATGAAGTTATTTTTCTCTAAAAGCAGTTTCTTGTTCTGAGCTTGCATTGATGCTATCTTTCCCATTAGGTCTTCCACCTCAGAGCGCTTTTTCTCCTGCTCCTGTTGTAAATGGCTGCAAAACCAACCATTTAGTACACATGTCACATATACACCTGCTGTATTTTAAAGCCAAAATTATGGTAAGACACTCATGTTAAAGATATGAAAAAGGTACACTTGATAATGTTTAGTGGTGTCAAAAAGTGGTATTACAATCTGATGATGTATCAAATCATGAATGAAACATAACGTAGAAAAAATAATTCATCCTATCTGCATTTGAAATATTTTTTAACTATAAAATACATATTCTAGTTAAAATGCAGTCCTTTTATATTTTTCCCCTCAAAGAAATTACTAGCAATTATGAGAACTTTTCAGGAAGGTGTCGTACCAAGAAACAGTAACTTCAACTATCCTAGGCCTGGAAGCAAACAAATTTACAGGAAGCCTTTAGAAAAAATATACAAGGTATGCTGCATGGCAGCACTTCTGTTTCATGTCATTTTCATGCCTCTAGTGTTGGGATTTATTTCTAGAATTACAACGTTTTTGAAATAGTAACTTTTCTTTCTACTTTGGTAGTTATCTTTTATAGATTAAAAATTACTGGCATATTCCTACATACAAAGTGATGTATGCATGTAATGATCTGCTTATGTTAATATTTTGCAGAATTGTTTCTCTATGCACCATATACAAACTCATACCTTTTTAACTCATTCACCAAAGCAAAGTGCTCCTCTGCTGCTATTTTGCTATCCAGTTTTGCTTTCAGCTCTTCACAAGTAGTATGTAAAGCTTCCAGCTGCTTCTGGTACTCTGCTATCTGTTCTTCTTGACTCCGTTTTTTATCTTCTAAAATTATTATCTGCTTGGTCAATTTTGAAGCTTTTGGAAGGGGAAGAAAAAATTGGTTACAGCATAGTAATAACAATAACTAATTCAATCACCTAGTAGAACTCCAACTAAACCAATAATACATTAATTCATAGTTATTCAAAGCATTATGTGACTGTGGATTTTTCTTGTTTTTTAAATCCTAATCAGTTAGGATTTGGAATCCAAACAGTTTGGATTTTGCCTCAATTTGTTTAGGAGAAGTACCACATTTTTCCACAGTTAAGCAAAGAGTTCTATTATAAGTCTGATTTTCACTGAAATCTGCCTTTCCCCAATTCAAATCAGTAAACCTGACATTTCAGATAGTATCTAGACAGAATTCTTTTCTGAATAGCTTATGGTAGGTTAGAAGAGATTCTAAGAGGATATTCAAAGAATCTCTTCTGATCTCTAGCGCATTCTAGTGGTGTTATCAACATAACTATAGAACATTGACCAAGAAATTCAGTAGAGGACACTGCTACCCACAAAACTATGTTAAGCAAAGAGCCAACCAAAAGTCATAGATGCAGAGCTACCTACAGCTAATATCTCTTTTGACTTCAGGTAACTCAAACAAGGCCACATGTCTGTTTCAGAACATTTTCCTTTCTTTCTTAACACTCACATTCTTTCTTAAAGAAGAAAGAACACAGCTCAGTGTATTTCTAATACTGGTAGTGATTTTTTTTTTTTCAGACAGAATAATCTTTTTATTCTTTGGAAATGCTTGGAAAGTGAGAGATCAGATTAAAGGCAGTTTTCTATTCAAGAGGCTTCAAACTCAAGACTACCTCTTTTCAGGGCTATGAGCTGTTTGCTCATTGAAGCATCATTTTGTGCTGAAAAGTCTTTTAATTCATTTTGATTAATTCAGGAAAAGAACCTGAAATCAAACATGAGTTTTGTAGCCTAGCAGACAGGACACATCTACAGACTGTCTAGTTTCTGTTCACCAATCCACAGGTTCTTCCTATAGCATGTATTTCCATCACTTAATGCACTGCCAAAACAGTTAAGGTCAGGCTCTTATTTCCTTGTGAGAACTACAGCAATAAAAACAAAATCTGTCAGTCTAGTAGGAATTTTCTGCCAATTCACGCCAGATCAAGCTATTTTGAGACATGGAAAGCGGAACACTTGATTGGGGGTATTATATTCTCTCCAAAAGCTTTATATTAATGATACATAATTAAATGTTTTTCAAGGATATCCTAAACTGTGAATTAAGATTCACAGAATTCGTACCTTCAATCTTGCTTTTTAAACAGTTAACCTTTACTAAAAAATCTTACTTTCATTGTTAGGATTTTAAAACGTAACATGTCTGTCCTCTTTCTGATACACAGTCAGAAGTCTATTAACAAGAATTACCCAGAAGAATTTGCTCATACAAAACATAACCATTAGTAGAAAAATTAATTTTTAAGAAATTATATTCCTTGTCTTGCTTGTAAGCATTCAGTGTTCTGAATTCAATTCAATATCTAATAAACAGCAATAGATAACAAAACTGATCCATTACTTAACAGATGGATGTAAATTTAAGCAGTATCATGCTACTTATGATATAATCAACTACATTTTATTAGCAATAAACATGGGTTACATAGCAAGAAACAGCCTAAATTGAACATTTAAATAAACAAATACTACCTCACAAATATCAACCTGTAAAAAGTTAAGGAAAAGATCCAAAAGTACTTCTGTTTAACAGTTCACAAGTTATATAGTTACAAGTGACGTTGACATTACTTTTCATGATCAGCTGACAATCAGAGCTTGACTTCATTGTAATCTTACCTGTCTTCAGCTATGCATTGTATGCATGTATCAAGTTGTAAAAAAGCTAAACACCTCCACCACAGAAAACCTGCAGAACTACTTACAGTGTAAAATGTATAGTTGCCATGTCTAGCAATCCAGGCACTTACCTTCCTGAACATGCTGTCTGTGACTGTCTTTTGCTTTAGCATGTTGAATTTCAAGTTGCTCCATCAACAACCTGTTTTCTTCCAAGACCAGCGTGGCCTGAGTTTGTAGCTGATGCCTGCAATAACAAGCAGTTTATAAATAAAGTATTTCTAATTTTAATTTATGTCCAAAGGAAAAAAAAAACAAAACAAAAAAAAACCCCTGACTTCCAACAGTTTAAACTTTATCATATTTGAACCCCTTTCAAAAAGGAATGAAAAACCTTAATTGAAAGCTATCTCAGAATCCAGAGTAAGCTTATTACAGACATGAACTCTCAACCCTCAATACATAAGTTGTTTTTAAAAAATATTTAAAAATTTTGACTAATTAAAGCAAAAATTCACTGTGGAAAGAAGGAAAGATATGCATGTGTGAATTAAAATCACAGAATCAGTGTGGTTGAGGCTGGAAGGGACCTCTGGAGATCATCTGGTCCAACCCCCCTGCACAAGAGCCAGACATAGTTTTTCCTCAAGATCTATAATCTTAAACATTTGCACAGTACAAGCAAAACACTAATTTCTGGTAATATAACTTGCCATTCTGTAGTGGTAATAAAGTTATTTTTATTTAATTGCTTATGCAGGTCTTCATTCTCCTTCACCAACTCTTCAACTTGCACTTTAAAGTTCTTCATATCCTCCTGGAAGATAAAGGAATCCAAATCATAATAGCTGGAGGGAAATATTTTAACTTTGACATCAAAATACACATACCTGGGTACCTTTCTAATTCTCATGTTAACAGCATTTTATCTCACGAGTCACTCATCTTTAACTCAGATGTGCACACTTGATTTTTTTTCCAAGTGTGATTTGAATTAGGCAACTCACAGATCCTTAACATATGTATTCAAGCAGATTAATTCTGGAAATAACCAGATGATAGCATACATTTTCAGAATGAAATACTGCTTATTTTATGGCATAATTTTTGAAGGAAATATTCTCAAAAACTGTAATAGTTCTGCTCTGAAGCTCATGTAGTTCCTCAGATTTGGTCATACATGGGTGTAAATGATACCAGATGAGTGTCTTGGTAATCTTTGTTCATACTGTGAACAAAAGTAAACAAAGATTCTCAAGAAGCTAATAACCATTTTTTGAAGATTCAGTAACAGAAGATATTTCTAAAGAGCAAAAAGAGTCAGTACCCATGCCTTAAATAACTTGAAATAAATATTCTTCAGCCACAAAATCCATAGGCCTGCAACTGGTAGATACAGGGCACTGGATTCCCAGTTATGAATGGCAACAGTAAATTGTTTCAACATGGACTGACCGTTTATGGTTTACTCTATTCCCACACATTCAGCATTGTGTCTGCTTCTACAGCTGAGCAGCCTGACAAAATCAAACCAAACCAAGTGCTTTTAAGACAGTACAATAACAACATATACCAAAGTAAAACAAAGTCACTTTTAATTTTAGGCAGAACCCAGCTTTGACAAATCCCTTCTAAAAAATCAGTAGTTTTTTCTGCCTTATTTTAGAAGTACATTTTCTTTAAATGGCAACTTACCTCATATGCAAGACTTAAATCTTCCTTTTCTCTTATTCTATCTTCGTATGCCAGCAGAAGAGGTGACAAATATTTCATATCCAGCTTTAAAAAACAAGTCAATATAAATAAATTGCAAACCACAATCTCATCAATATTTATTATTTCTTCTCCTGATATACATTGTCAGTTTTAAAAGCTATTAAGGGCTTTCAGTTACTATTAGTTTTACATATAAGTGAAGAGGGAGGACCTTCCGGTTTCTGTATAGCTCTGAATAACAATGGGAAAGGAAAATTGAAGATTCGGTTAGCATATGAAGAAATTGTTTCACATGTTATAGGTTCCATTTCACAGATTACTTGCCTTCTACTTGCCAGAAGTTCATAGGCTACTAGTGGATCCACAAACATTCCTACCATCAGAATCACTGAAA